GATGCTTGATTGCCAAGACGATTGTAGTGACTGAGGCTACAATGAGGGAATCTTCTGATCAAGTCCTTAATTTCAACTGCCAAAAATCGGATTGATGAGGAGGTTGATTCTGATTTATTGATTTCATCCACAAGGAATAAGCAATCACTCTCCACTAGCAATTGAGATATCCCAAGGTTAAGGCAAAGTTGTAGACCTCTCACAAGTGCCGCAGCTTCAATATGTTCAGGTTCCAATAGGGAATTATCAGGACTACTTGCCGCCAAAATAATTTCCCCTTCATGGTCACGTAAGATAATTCCAAGTCCAGCTTTATTGAGATCAAAGAATAATGCGCCATCAACATTTAGCTTAACGGCATTCTGAGGTGGTGCTGACCACCTGTATTTGCGGGAGAGCACCCCAGGAGAATGAACGAGAGGATGGTCAGATTCAGCAGTCAATCTGTTGGCGAGGGCAGTAGCAATTACCTGTGGGAGTGGGAGATTTACCTGATCATGAATCATCTTGTTACGACGGAACCAGAAGCCCCAAGTAATGAGCAGAAATTTCGAGAGAGCCTCTTTTAAACCATTAGTCAGTATTACAGTAGCAGCTTGAATGAAGCCTCCATGGAATGTCTTATTTTGTAGTTCTGGAAATTGCGTTATTAAGACTTGATGGACAGAAGGGCAGTAAAGAAGGACATGTCAAATATCTTCCACCTGATAATCACATAAGCGACATTGAAGAGCAATGTGAATATTTCTTCGAGCTAGGTTCTGGTTAGAAGGTAAAATTTCCTGGCAAGCTCTCCAGGCAAAGATCTTTACTTTTTGAGGGATCTTGAGCCTCCACATGGTATCCCAAAATTTCTCTCTCAGAAGCATTTGAACAGGTGCCACGGTCAGGAGCTAGGCAAGTTCAGAAGAAGTTATATGCGCTACTAACGGAATAAATCCCGAATTTTTCATGCTCCCATACCCAGAAATCCTCCTCCCCCAAATGGCTGGGGTGTAATTTCAGAATGGCCTCGACAAGTTTTGGGTTGAATAGAGCTCTAAGTTTAGCCAAGTCCCACCATCGTAAATGAGGATCAATCAAAGACGCCACTGGACAATCAGCATGTTGGTAATAATGTTGTTCTAGATTGGCCCTTAGTTCCCTGCTCAAGTCACTTGTACCAGGGATCCATTTGTCCTTCAGGATATGGATAGTGGTGCCATTACCGACAATCCATCTTTCTACTTGTAATAATAGATTCTTAGCCTCCCAAATTCCACGCCAAGTATAAGAAGGGTTTCCACCTATTGATGCCTTTAACACATTGCCATCAAGGAAATAACGGGCCGAATATATCTTATGAAGTAGGCTGTCCTTGTGTTGCATAAGCCTCCAGGCTTGTTTGCCAAGCATAGCCATGTTGAAAACCTCGAGCTCTTTGAAGCCCATTCCACCCATGGATTTGGATTTACACATCTATTCCAGGATTGCCAGTGGATCTTCCTTTCCCCATTTTTTTGGCCCCACCAGAAACGGGCCATCATCCTTTCGATGTCAGTGCATAACGTAGATGGGAGTTTGAAGCAATTCATAGCATAGGAGGGGATCTCTAAGGCCACTGATTTAAGGAGGACTTCTCTGCCTCCTTGGGAAACTAGGTTATGCTTCCATCCTTGCAGCCGTTGCCAGACTTTGTGCTTTATTTCAGAGAAGGCTCGAGTCTTGGATCTACCCACCATCGGTGATAATCCAAGATACTTTTCATATTGTTGGACTTGGGGAGCATTCCATAAGGCCATGATGGCTTGCTTTTTATTTGGTGGCACATTAGCACTGAAAACCATAGCTGTTTTTTCCCTGTTAAGTTGTTGCCCAGAAGCCTCTTCATACACACTTAGGATAGCTTGTAGACGGGACATGGTTTCTTCCTTGGCTTCACAGAAAATTAAACTATCATTCACAAAGAGAAGATGATTCACTTTTGGAGCTCTTCAACACACTTGAATACCTGTCAACCTACTGGTTCTCTCCGCTTCATTCATTAGGCTAATTAGTCCTTCAGTGCATAAAAGAAATAGATAAGGAGAGATAGGATCTCCTTGCCTTAAACCCCGGGATGGGACTATGTGACCAGTAGGGATGCCATTAATAAGAATTGAGAAAGAGGGAGTAATAACACATTTCATCACTAATTGAATAATCTTTTCGTGGAAGCCCAATTTGTACATAACCGTCGTAGGAAAGGCCATTCAACTCTGTCATACGCCTTACTCATGTCCAGCTTAAGAGACATGAATCCCTTCTTACCTTTCCGCTTTCTTCGTAAGTAATGGAGCATTTCATAGGCCACCAGAACATTGTTTGTTATCAGCCGTCCTTTAATAAAAGCTGACTGTGTTTCTGAGATTACTAAAAGAAGCACCATTTTTATTCTGTTAGCCACCACTTTAGAAACCAATTTGTACATGACATTACACAGACTGATAGGCCTGAAGTCCTTGACTTTCTGGGGATTTTCAGTTTTAGGAATGAGTGTCATGAAAGTGTGATTCAGCTCTTGGGGAAACTCGTAGGTATTTAAAGCATGTAGGACGGCGTTTGAGATAGAAAAACCAATATGAGACCAAAACTTTTGGAAGAAGAGAGGGGGCATACCATCAGGTCCCGGCGCTTTAGTAGGGTGCATTTCCTTCAAAGCCTGTGCAACTTCAGCTGCGTTAAAGGGTTGTATCAGTGCGTTGTTCATCTCAGGGGTTACCTTGCTCTCCATTTTATCCACTACAGTGTTCTGGTTGTACGAGCCATTGCAGGAGAACAGGTCAGAATAATAGTTGATGATTAAGCTATTGCACTCATCTCCCTCCTGCCAACAGCCTTGGTCATCAACAGCTTCGTAATCATGTTCGTCTTTCTCCTCTGAGAAGCTTTAGCATGGAAAAAATGGGTGTTCTGGTCACCTCCCTCAAGCCAAGCAGCTCTAGATCTTTGTTTCTACATTAGTTGTTCCCTATCCATCCAAGTTTGCACTTCATCAGCCGTATTTTGAAGAACATCAGAATTTATATGTAGAAGATCTTGATTCTGGACTCTGGCTAGCTTAGATCGTGCTTTGTTGAGCTCAATATGCACCCTGCCAAATTTTGTTCGGTTCCATAGGTGGAGTTGATTACTACAGCAGCTTAAATTCTCCATTATACCCTCCAGAATCTGAGGGTTATAACCAGACCATTGATTCAGCATAATATCAGAGCAGGCCTTTTCACCAAGCCACATTGATTCGAAACGGAATGGTTTAGCTTTTAACGATTTTCGATGAGCCTCATCAAGTTGGATCCATAGTGGTAGATGATCAGAATACACTGATGAGCCATGGGTAACCTCAGCATGAGTAAAGAGTTGACACCATGGAGTGTTAGCAGCAAAGCGATCAAGCCTTTCAAAAATTTGTGTAGACTTGTGTCTGCCCTTATGCTATGTATATTGAGGGCCTTTGAACCCAAGATCACGGAGCTCACAATCAGAGAACATTTGTTGGAAATTTTCCATCTGTTGGCTAGGTCTCTCTCGGCCTCCCCATTTCTCATTGTTAGAGAGGATTTCATAAAAGTCCCCAAAGACAAGCCAAGCTTCCAGATTATCTCTTTTCAGTCGCCACAATAAATCCCAGGTCTCCATTCATTTATTTGTTTCGGGCTGACCATATATTCCTGTTAAAAACCAGCTGTACTGTGGTGATTCGATTTCTGCATCAATGTGGCTCTTAGAGTAATTAAGAATAGATAGACGGATATCAAGTTTCCAAAGAAGTGCAAGGCCACCACTACGTCTAATTGTATCAACAGAAAAACAACTATAAAACTTTAACTTTATTCGACAGAGTTCCATTTTCGTAACAGTAAGTTTTGTCTCCTGCAGAAGCAAAACATCGGGGTCTTCCTTCCTGATAAGATCAGAAAGAGTGCGAATGCTACAAGGGTTCCCAAGCCCTCGTGCATTCCAACTAAGCAGTTTCATAGTGACCGGTGGGGCTGAAATTCAGCCACCACCGAAACCTCCTGAGACTTAAGGTTAGAAGTACTTCCATGAGCCTTATCTTTACCTCTCCCCCTTTTAGAAGTTCGAGCAGCTCCACCATCATTATCGGAAGTATCCAAAGGCCGTTTAAGACTTTCAAGTGGGATGGATGTGGTACAGCCTTTGGTCTGATTTTTGGGGAGTCTTTTCCATCGTCTTGGGACAGTTTTGCCCCTCTCTGTAGTTGAATCCCCGTCTAATTTAGGCAAGATAGTATTTGTTGTTAGGATGGCAGTAGTAGTCTTTGACATGCTATCAATATACGCAATTACCATACTTTCCTTCCATATAATTGGCAATTAACGCATCAGTTTGTATGGTACCTTGCTCCTGATTTATCGCACTTATATTACTGCAGCCTCCTTCCTTAAATTATTGTCCTGTGATTGCCCATAATCTGCCACCTTAATCAATTCCATATTATCAATCCTAGGATTTTTTTTCCTGGGATTGCTCCACGTTTGTCTCCTTCAATATCTCCACAATTTGCACTAAAATTATATTCCTGTAAATTCTCCTGAATTTTCGCTGTATTATGGGAACTTTCCATTGCGGATACATCCTTACCATTTTCCATGCCGCCGAAGTATGGTGCTGCCTGGTTCGTCGGAGGGTTAGAGGCCAATGAATTCAGCTGACGATCACGAATAGGGCCTCCAAAATCACCAATATTGCCTGCACGTAACCAAGGTCCGTAGGCGTAATCAGAATTTGTATATGCCTCCATAGCAGCACGCCATTGGGAACACTCCTTTTGGCTGTGTCGAAGAGTACCACATAAGTAACAGAAGTTTGGGAGCCGTTCATAGGCAAAGCGAACCCAGAACGGTTTGTATGATCCCATACAGACCTTCTTACCATGGAGCAGGGGCTTAGAAATATTCAGGCAGATCTGAACACGAAGGTAGTCACCTCTGGCAATGTCGTTTTTATCAATATCAATGTCAATGATTTTGCTCTAGACCATTAACATCTTTGGTTAAGACCAAATGTTTGTCAAAAATCCATGGACCTTCACGCTGGACACGTTCCTTATCCCGGTTATCATCAAATTCTGCTAGAAAGAGGTTTGGAGAAATATCTTGAATCCTCAAGGTTTTATTTGGGCGCCATAGACGCGTCATGCTGTTCTTGAAGGCCTCTTTGTTGAAGTGTTTGGTAGATAGAAGTTTGAAAAGCAGACATTTAGCATTGCGTTGGGGAGTCTGTACCTCCGCTTCAGCAACCACTAATGCATCTTCTTCATGTTCGGTGAGGGGAAGCTGTTCACACATGTCTGCAATATCCGATTCCATGGAGCCAACCTCGAAATCTCGAGGATGAAACCTGCACAGGCGCAGGGAAGAACCTCTACACAGGCGAGCGGGATGATGGGGGTCAGTACCTCTGCTCAGGGTGTCCAAGAGTACCACATTAAGAATGTTACTATTTTGTCTAAACTCAACTCGGTTTTGTTCACAAGTCAATTAGCTATTGATTAGGTATTAACCGTACTTATCACAATAGTAAAAATATTATACACTTTTTAATAATAAAAAAATCAAGTTACAAATTAAAGTTATATATTTTGTCCTAATTAGAAATATTAGACACAAATCGTCGTATGAAAACACAAAGATAAATTTAAGTAGATCACCAGATTATTAGACAAAAAAGAATTAATCTAGAAAATTAAGTTTGCACCAAGCTTGGATCTTCTTCCCCTTCAATCCCTCAACTCTAGAATTTTCCTTTGTGTTTCTCTCTCAAAATATCTAATTTAACAACCCTAATAACGAAGTAGGCCACATGTTACTGTGGCGACCGGAAATTTTCAAATTTTAAGCCATTTTTTTGGTGGTAATAGGGCATAAAAAAAAATACAATCCTAACCGTTAAAAAACTTTCCCCACCAAAAATTGGTCGGTAAAGGGGACTTGTAGCAACCAATTTTATTTGGTCGCTAAATCTTTGGTCGGTAGAGCTCTTTTTTCTTGTAGTGAAGGAAGATAAATTTTGCGTCGTTCCTAGTTTTTCCCAAGGGTAATTATATGCACTCAATAATTGTTTATATATGCACCACATTTTAATTACAAGAAATGTTTCCAATATTTACTCACTTTTACTTTTGTATCCTCAACGTTTTTCTCATTTCATTTTATTCTTAACTTTCAATTAATTAAGATATTTTGTCTCTAATCACAATTTTCATCCAAATGTTCGGCTAATGTACAATGAAAAGATGGGATTTTTTTATTTTTTTTTGACTTTTACAATAGTTATTTATTTCGATTATTCAAAAATGCAAGAGATAAACATGTCTCTTTGGCCCTTATAACAAATATTTTGGACGAAAATTGTCTCAATGGACAAGATGTTAAAATTAATGGAGGGTAGATAATAAATATTTAAAAAAAATTTGAGAACAGAAGTATAAAAATAAGACAAGTTAAGGAATATTCATTATAATTAAAATGTGGTGTAGTTAACAAAAAATTGTGGTGTGAATATATTTACCTTTTTTCCAATTTATGTGCTTTAAGTTGGTCATGCAATTAAGTATGTTCACTTGGTTTAGCCTATGTTAATTACATGATTTACATTTTAAAATTTATTTTACGACAAATTATACTAAAATTTTAAGCTATGTTTTGTCGCCAAATCGTAATAGAGTTAATAATCACATAAGTTATGATTCAGTTAAGATTTCTAATTTTTATCAAATAAATGATATCGCAAGATTAATTATTTAATTGTTAGAACCAATATCATATTGTTGGGAGCAAACAAAAAGTCTCACATCGGTTGGGAGAAGAAAAGAAATCCACCATATAACCCAAGTGGGTTACTCCACCCATTGCCAATTGGTTTTGGGTTGGAACTTCACTTGGGCTTGGTGGTGTGGGCTTGGACCGGTCAATTTGCTCATTATTTTCCCTACAATTGGTATCAGAGCCTAGGGTCGGAGGAACGCAATAGAAAGCGTGGTGGTGATCGAGCTAAAAATCATTCGCGTTTGAGGTGCCTTGTGTCGAAAGTCTTCCTGACACTGGTGGTCGAGGGCGACGATAATAACGACGGTACAAGATGATTGGCGAATGGATTATCGTTTGAAGGGAGACCATAATGATGTGGTCCTTCGTTTGAGGGGAGGATTGTTAGGAGTAAACAAAAAGTCCCACATCGATTGGGAGAAGAAAAGAAATCCACCACACAATCCAAGTGAGTTACTCCACCCATTGCCAATTGGTTTTGGGTTGGAACTTCACTTGGGCTTGGTGGTGTGGGCTTGGACCGGTCAATTTGCTCATTATTTTCCCTACACATATCATACGACATAATCCATTAACCACTTGAAATGATAGTTTAGGAGTGATTAAGCCGATGTTAGAAGCTATTGAGATAGGTGATAATTCGTTACTTGTTGAATACTTGTGTGGGGTGTGTTCAGCTATAGGTAAATACTAGGTACGAACCATGCATTGGAAGTCTAATCCTCAATATTTGTCCCAATAAAAGGCATTACACCAATCATGGTAAAAAGGGAAAAAGCTGCTATATTTTCATGATAAAGCGACTCTATTAAAGATCTTATTGATGACACATTGAAAACTCAATAATGAAAAATTCAAGAGGAACAAAACTAGTGCATGAAATTGAATATGTATAGTAAATATTAAAAAACAAGTGCATGAAATAGAAGACGCATTACATGTCTCACTAAACCTTAGAAACTAAGCATGGAAAGTTGATTTTTTCATGAGGGAGAATCATCACATATCAATGTAGTAACTTCTATTAGCATACCCATATTTTGATTGATTGTTGTCAATGTTTTAATTAATGCTTAAATAAATGGTCTGCCTTTAAACTATTTGTGACTTTTTTGGTTTCCATTAAGTTCAAAGTAGGTATAGCTCATACTTGACAATTGGCCTAAAGTCTTAGGGATAATTTTTTATACTTTGCGCAATACATTTGAACTTTCATATTCGAATTTGAAATTTTGAATATTTTAGGTTATATGTGAAAATAAGTTTAATTCAACTCAAGAGAAATCGTTAAATAAAATATGTTTGTTGATCGTCAATCTAAGCATGAATTGGATTGAAAGTGAGAATTTTGGAATTATAACGGATTCTACCTGTGTAGTTGGATTCCTGGTACACTTTTTTAAATCGATCTCTTTCTCTAAACTTTCACTCATAGCTAGTTAAATAGTCATAGTATAAATTAGTTAGTATCATAGTTACTCAAATTTAACCATTAATTGTGTGTTTATTCGTTTTAAGCTCGAATTGATTGAATTTAAACTAAAATCTAAATCATCATGGGAACGATAATTTTTTACTCATTTTTACTGTTGCTTGTCAACGAACATGTAACCTTGCATAATTTGAAATGAACAATAACTGTTCCGACAGATTGTGCTGAATTTCAACATCTTTCATGACTTGGCTCACATAGTACACTAGTCTTTTATCTTTAATCCTCATGGATAGTATCGTACTTACTGTAATGACTAAATAGAGTTTTAATAATTCCTAGGATATGTTCGAGTAAGGATCTGTGGGTCATGAGAACTTGATTCAATTCGATAAATGATTTATCGCACTCCTTGGTCCACTGAAACTCATTGTTTCTTTTGATCGATTGAAAACTGGGCAACACTTGTCTGCTGCACAAGACAAAAATTGGTTTAGAGCAGCTACTCAATAGGTTAACCTTTGCACTTCATTTTAAGTCGTTAGGTTCCTCATCTAAAAAATCACCTAATTTTATTAAGGTTGGATTTTATCTTCTTTGAGTAACCACGAAGCTCGAAATTTTCTCCCAGGCATGCTAATAGCACATTTTTCAGAGTTAAATTTGATATAATTCTTTCTCAACATATCTATTAGAATTCGAACGAGAAGTATGTATATTGATACCACTTGCTAGGAATTGAAGAAACGAGATTATACGACACAATATAAAGTAGCAATCACAACATGAGAAGAACTTGGCAAAGGAATGGAGAATTCAATATAATATGGAGAAATAATATAATGAATATTGTGTTTCTAATTTGTCTAACTTGTGTACAAAGTCAATAATCACGTGGACTCTATATAGGTCCCAAAAGAATATGGAAAGATTATCAAAAATCACATAAAAAGAAGGAAACAATATTTTCCCGGATGACTATGCTGCTCGAGCGGTAGCCTTGAGGGAAGCAAGTGTCGGAACGTCTCTTGAGTGCCAGACAAGCAGCAAGCGAGCGACAATGATGGCTAGTCCAATGGCTTCGAGGTGCTAAGTTTCGAAATAAATCTCACTTCTTGACCTCTTTAACACATTCTTCAACCAAAAACACAATTTTCCAATAGAAATTAGAACACAATATTAACAAATCTCCACTTTGAAACAAATTCCGAACAAGAAATAAACCAATGGCTCTTAACAAACTCTTCAACCAAAATTCTCCTCATCTTCCACAAAGTGCAATTAGGATAAACTCAATCAATTGAATCCAAAAACTACATAGCAGAATTACCTCGATAACTAGAGTTGCTTGAATTATCACCACGAGTAACAAATTCACAAATTACCAAACAAGTCAGAAACATACCCTGAACAAAATTACCTCAACAAACTGCTTCTATAGAAGGTTCTTTGCTAGACTCACTTAGAGCGTACTCAACTAAATCAGTTTCCTTGTACCTTTGCGGAGGCTTAATATTTTTCATGGGTTAGTCTCTAACAATTGAATATTATGGCACTGCCGGTGGTGGCAGCAAAGCGACATTGTCTATTACTTCTAAACTCAACTAAGCCTCCATTTGGTAGGCATTATCTATGGCAAGAATGCATTTTTCTGTCAAATCAAGAGGGCTCTAGCTACTTTGTTACCTGGCTAATCAATTTTTCTGCTGAATTACTATAATGCCCTTTTGTGAAATACAAATTTATTCAAAGTGAGGGCACATGTTCTGTCAAACGGGTATTGTTGTAACGGTCGGAAAATGTCTACAAATTGGCAAGAATTGGTATCAAACAGAGGCTAAGATATATTCTTCAACACGGACTCCAAACCAAATTTCAATGGTATTGTACCAAATCGAATATCCACCGAAGTACTAAACCTCTGCTAATTGGTTTCAAAGATTTTGCACAACCTTGCAAGACATACAGCTGAGACCTTCACTGTCCCTCCAACACAACATGGGCACCTTTACAAACCTTTAAGACTCCACATTTACCAATGAACTTGTACCCTTTTGAATCAAGAGCGGTCAAAGAGATAAGATTTCTCTTCAAATCTGGAACGTGTCTC